GCTCACCGGAAGCACTTTTTCATCAAAAAAAGATGGCGGCGCCCAGCTAATGCCGGTACCGGGCCGCGCCATAAAAAAGGTTGGGGATACCGGGTCGCGGCATAAGAAAGGTTGGGGATCACTGCACTAAATGATATGTTCCTAATTCTTTAATACCATCACTCTTGTAAACTGAAGTTAATGTTATTTGAGTAATATTTTTTATATCACTGCACCCAAATAAAGTGAACTGATCATTTCTAAAGCATTCTTATATAAGATGTATTATTGAAGATGCTTAAAAATGTGTTGTGAATAGCAGTGTTTGCATATATTTGCCTTACAACTCAGTGCATTTGGAAATTATCATCATTGTTACTGTTTTGAGTAAACAGATGTCTAACATTTTTAGCTTCCACATAATAAAATTGTAGTAATTGTAATATTAGAATACCAGTGATATTTCATATCTACAGCAAGAGTGGACAATCTGAGCACTATGTGGGTTGCTACACTCACACATACCTCAGTTTCCCATTGACTGCCTCTCCAGATTGAACAAAATTGAACATTATACAGAACCACCATTCTTCCATTTTGGTGATATAGGAAAATTTAAAATGTATTTAAAAATTCCACATCCTAATATCACTGGCTGTACTTCCTAAAACTCCCAGCAGGCCAAAAAAAATAATAATAATTACCAATTCTAGTCTGCAACACAGAGATGGTATTCAGTAGGTTCTGACCAGTTCTGGAGAACTGGTAGCGAAATTTTGAGTAGTTCAGAAAACTGGCAAATACTACCTCTGATTGGAGATTTTACAGTATCCTTCCCCTGCCACGCCCACCAAGCCACGCTCACAGAACCGGTAGTAAAAAAAATTGAATCCCACCACTGCTGCAACATAGACTTGCAGTAGTTTAATACTGATTCCTTCTCTCCAGGAGATACCAAAAACGGATTTACTACATTGTTGCACATTTAGCACTCTACAAGCTAGAATTAATTTTTAAAAAGGCACTTAAATTTGATTTGTAAATATGTCCTTTGTGTTTGCTATTGTAATTGTAATGGCATCATAAAAAATACAGATTTATTTTCTGTTATATTGATGATTCTGACTTGGAGGCCGATGGTAATGTGAAGTTTCTCTTACTTGCCACTAACACCTTTGTAAAGTATAATGAAGGAGGGAAGGGGGTTCTGCAAGTATGGCAAAGAACTTGATGTTTGGATGCTGCTTGCTGGAATTTGTATGAGGAAGTATTATCTACTTTGGTCTCAGCATTTTAATGAAAACAAATCAAGTCTTTTATAAAACAAGTACTTTTAAAAATACGGATGGATATAAAGGTAAAGCTTTCCTCTGTCTAGTTCAGAGGTCTCATTCTCGCGGCCCGCGGGCCAATTGCAGCCTGCAGGACGATATTCTGTGGCCCCCACCGTGATATGAAAGTATAATATTAGTGTATAATATAAATATAAAGTATAATATAAAGTATAATATTATGCGGCCCAGCCTCACCCAGACTCTGCCTCCAGTGGCCCCCAGGTAAATTGTGTTTGAGACCCCTGGTCTAGTTGTATCCTACTCTAGGGGACAGTGCTCATTTCTGTTTCCTAGCAGAGGGAACCAATGTTCTCCAAAGACATTTCCATGGTGATGTAGCTAGCATGAGTATATGCCGAGGTGCATGGAACACTCTTATCTTCCCATCAAAGTGGTACCTATTTGTCCACTCACATTTGCAGGCTTTCTAACTGCTAGGAGCTGGGGCAAGGAGTTCACCTTGTTGCAGAATGCTCAGGACTTGAATCTGAGCTGTCAGCTTTCCAGCTGACAAGCTCAGATTCTTTAACCATTGAGCCATTGTGCCCCCTCATGGGTACAATTGTTTATTAATTAAAAAGCAGTATATTGAATCATCAGTGATAAAAGAGCTCTTTATAGCAGCTAGATAGCTTAGTAGAAAACCATCGTTGAGATGGGAGACTGGAGTTCCAATCCCAATTGGTACCTACCTTACCAGTATGAATCCTTGGCAAAAAAAAACTAATGCTTCATCTGCCTATCTCAAAATATGACTTACACAAACTAGAAGTGTTATTCTGGCTTGGACATTAACTGGATTATTGATGTCCACATTCCATATTGTGTAGCGTTTCGCTGATCTATCTCACAATTTGAGATCGATCAGCTACACATTACATCCTAAATTCAAGAAGACTTGGAAGAAGAACTGGACATGTAGCCAACCCCTGGAACTGGAATGTCATTACTCTTTCCTTTACAAAGGGCAACAGCAGATATGAGGGATAAGATAAGATCACAAACTAGCTACAATCAACTCCTGAGAGTTATTACCAAGTCTCAGTAGATAATATGTTAGAAGCCCTTACAACAATCCCTGGTATCACAATAATTCAAACTAATGAATTGGTATATGCTACAGTCACTGTATTCCTATATCTGGCTACACAATAAGAAAAACAGTAATAAATACTCCCTCTGGGAAATGAGGTTAGAGGCTAAGATCAAGATAACTCAGAAAGAGGCTTAGTTAACTGGTGGAATTACAGAAAGGTGTAAAGATTTGGGATAAGATTAGGCTTCTTAAAACATACAAAGCCAAACTACCGGAAATCATTGAGACTGATAAACAAAGGCTTACAGCACTGGCTACCAGGCCAAGAAGATATAGAAGCAGAGGCTAAGAAGATAAATGCCCTGTCTCCAAAGAACCATCCAAAGTGTACTCTCAACTGCAGTGCAATAACACAATAACAACAGCAGATAACAACCATTAGCAGAAACAACAGTATTGGAATAACATATGGGAGAAAGAGAAGACATAAAATATCAATGTGAAGTGGCTGCAGGACCTGCACCACACCACAGCAGTCTTCCAGAACAAGAACCAGTCACTATTACAGTTGCAGACATTCAGCAGCAAGTTAAGAACATGAAGAGCTGAATAGCACCAGGCCCAGATACAATCTACACCTATTGACTGACTAAGGAATAAAACAGGCATGAATGTCTGGCATCACAGATGTACCAGTTAGCAGCAGATTCCTTCCCACCAAGACAGGCTAACACAAGGAAGGGTGATCTTGAAAGACCCCCCACAAGGGAACAGCAATGGCCAACTACTAACCAATAACCTGCCTTCACACAATATATAAAGTACCTTCAGACATTAATAGCTACCAAGCTACAGAACCATATGGGCCAATATATGAGTTCAGCTCAGAAGAACATTGGGAACCCCAGAGGCTCCAAACACCAGACATTTCTAGATAGAGCAGTTGCCCAAGAATCAAGTCTAGACAGACCAATCTGGATTGATTACAGGAAAACCTATGACTCAATACCACACACATACCACACTGTGAATATGTGGGGCTACAAGTTAACAAGACACTAAGGACTTTCCTGAAAAACCCAATGGAAGACAACACTGGAAAGTAGTACAAGACAGCTTACATAAGTGGCCATACCAAGAAGATGCATTGTTTCCATTGCTGTTCAACAGAGCTTTGAACGCCTTTAGCCAGGGACTTTAATCACAGGGACTTGATATGGATACAAGTTCAGGAGTGGAACTACCGTCAGCCACTTCCTCTACATAAATTACATCAAGTTATATGCTAAGAGTGGTGAACGAGACATCAATTCACTGATCCACCTGACACAGATCTACAGTGAAGGCATTGGTATATAATTTGGACTGGAGTGGTATGGCAAGATGGTAGTCAAGAGAGGAAATTTTTCCAGAAAAATGAATAGATGTCAAGAACCCAAAGTGTATGAATCCTACATATTTCCTAGTCTTTCCCCACTTTTGCTTATCATTATTTATTTCATCCCTTGATAGCAATTCCCTGTCTCTAATTTTTCTCCAGGTCTCTTATTATACCCTCATATTTAAACTAGGAATGCCCAACCCAATGGCTAAGGGTACGAATATGTGAAGAGATACATTCTTTAATTTTCTGAAGAGTATATCTCTTGAATTCAAAAGGATGTTGTAATTAATTAATGGAGATTTAATTACATTGTTTCTTTTCTTGCTGTGACTTTTATATGACTTATTTTATTGCATAAGAGAAAAGACTTCCTTATTACCTTCTGGCTTATCTCCTGTATCATGTTATCTTTTAGTGTAGAAAACTTTTCATTGATGCATATTTTTAACTGATTATTTGTTAAATGATGTGAATAAAACAATTCAGAGATTAGAAAAATAATATATTTTTAAGTGCATCTGCTGTCCAGAGACATTTTTGTATTTGATTTTGCTTTAATTAATTCACTGATTAATTGTTTTCATAAGTGAACCTTGTATATGTGATTTTGCTATTAGTTTATGGCACATGAACATAATTCTGTTTGTAGAAGAAAAAACTGTTGTTACTGGGTAGACCGTAGGCCAATATTTATGTTTGATTTTTCATAT